CGAGGATTCCATTCTAAATACAGCCTGTGTGTGTGTGTGTGTCTGTGTAAGTGTGTGTCTGTGTGTGTAAGTGTGTGTGTGTCTGTGAGTGAGTGTGTGGGTGTGTGTCTGTGAGTGAGTGAGTGAGTGTGAGTGTGTGTGTGTGTCTGTGAGTGAGTGTGTTTGTTTGTTTGTGTCTGTGTGTGTATGTGTCTGTGAGTGTGTGATTCTGTGTGTGTGAGACTGTTAGTGTCTGTGTGTCTGTGTGTGTGTGTGTGTGTGTGTGGTCTTTTCTTTATTGAAATTTAAGGAGCCTATTTTACTCTGCGGTGAGCAAACAGCTCTTGCCCACTCTTTCAGGAAGTATCCTTGAAAGCAGAAAATCTTAGCAGACAAGCTCAAAGAAAATGAAGCACTATTGCAAATGTTTATCCAAACACCACATCACGACCAGTGCCAATAACTGGAGGCGCGTGTGTGATTTTCTCAGCATTTAATCACAATTACAGTCCTGTCATATCAAAGGCATGATTCTTGCATCAGGCTTATATGAATGGATGAAGTGAAGACGACAGATTCCGGGACGTGTCTAAGAATGCCTGCTGTGGGTATGACTTCATCCTCTCTGGTTTACTGATGAAAGATCACTTTTTATGTGGAGAGATGATCTCCACACAAATCTATTCTTGAGTCACAGAAGAGAGTCACATCTTGGACTTCCATCATGCAAAGCTTTAGCTCATTTTTAGTCCAGATGGTACAATGTGACGTTTTCTACTTGATCTATTCACTTCCTACCCCTCCTCTGATTTCCCGCACACACAGTCAACTTCGGGATGGTTAATTGACCTCAAAATAAGGAAGCAGCAGTGAGGGCAGCTAGCGCTTCCTGTCACAGTGTGTGTACGGCAAAGTCCCTCAGCTTGTGCTGTGATCAATATTGTGATACACTCGGGTTTCAGCCCCTCCTGATCCTGGATCTTATCATGTCTATGTAGACCTCAATGCCTGTATGGATAGTTGTCCCTGGCACTGTGTCAGTTGTGGCTATTTACAGATCTCAGCCTGCTAGAAGCACAGATAATGTCATTAAAAATAAGAGATTTAGTCAGTGATTTGTGTGTATTTTCAAATATATTTAGAAACAACAGGAAAAGTTTAGAAAAAATATATTTGTTTGTGTGAGTGTGTGAGTGTGTGAGTGAGTGAGTTTACTTAGCTAAACTCTTGGCTCAAAATTGTCAGAAGTCTAAATCTGTCAGAATCTAAATTAAAAAAAAAAGTGTTGCAATCAGCTAGTCTAATACTATAAGACTAATATACTATAAGTATAATAAGGCATCCCCCCATTTAGAATGCGTGTGTGTATTTATAAGTAACATGGTTGAAAGTATCAGTACTAGTGTGTGCGTCATTACTTAGCTATTCTTTGGGGGGAAATGTTCCCAGAAGTTAGCTAAAGCTGACCAAATCTCCCAGGTATTCGTAGGTATGTCCTCAAGACATTGAAAGCATCAATGTGTGTGTGTGTGTGTGTGTGTGGTCCTGCTCACCTGTGACCCTTATCAAGGGTTTTGTCTAGTTTCCCCGTCAGAACGTTCCAAATGTACAGAACGCCGTCTGCAGAACCGGCCGCCACGTAACTTCCATCAGGACTGAAAACACAAACACTCAGAGCTCATACATGCGCACCACAGATGCAGTCAGGTGATTAACGAGCTTTATGAGTCGATGAAAAGCTAATTAATTCAATCAAATGTAACATTAACATAAATAACCAACAATCCGCTAAAATAAAAGCTCAAGGATTTGAAATGTAAAAAGCTTGTGGGTTTGAATATTTGAAAGTAAAGAATTTAATACATAAATACTTTAACTATACTTTATTAACTATATTATTAAAAAAATATCATCATCATCACATATTCATTTGTTTATAGTACAACTGTAATTAACATAATATATTTCTGTTATTTAAGTAATAAATTATAATATAATAATAACAGTTCAAATCGCAATATTTTGTGCCTAGCATCCATATACATGTTATTAGAAACACACCTGTTCAAATGACCCAAACCAGCCTAATTAGACAGGATTTCCTCAAGAACAACTAGTCAGCTAATCAGTCAGGAAACCCACTAAATAGTCCATTTTAAAAATGTGTATGAAAAACAAACTCATGCACTTCACTGCTCTCACCTGAACGTGACCCTGGTGAAGTCTGAACCACACTTGAAACCTTGAGCACTGCAGAAAAACAAAAATTACCATTTTGATTAGAAATCTCAATGCATTTGCAACCCTGCCACACAAAAGCAGTTTTAAGTCGCTGGGGTATATTTGTAGCAATAAAAGTTTAGTAATCTTACAAAAAAAATGAATTTAAAAAAATTCACATTTTCAGAACCAATAACTAGAACTAGAACTAGACTAGACTAGATAACTAGTATATATATATAGAATAGAGATGTACACTAGTATTCCATTCTAAATACAGCCTGTGTGTGTGTGTGTGTCTGTGTAAGTGTGTGTCTGTGTGTGTAAGTGTGTGTGTGTCTGTGAGTGAGTGTGTGGGTGTGGGTGTGTGTCTGTGAGTGAGTGAGTGAGTGTGAGTGTGTGTGTGTGTCTGTGAGTGAGTGTGTGGGTGTGTGTCTGTGAGTGAGTGAGTGAGTGTGAGTGTGTGTGTGTGTCTGTGAGTGAGTGTGTGGGTGTGTGTCTGTGAGTGAGTGAGTGAGTGTGAGTGTGTGTGTGTGTCTGTGAGTGAGTGTGTGGGTGTGTGTCTGTGAGTGAGTGAGTGAGTGTGAGTGTGTGTGTGTGTCTGTGAGTGAGTGTGTTTGTTTGTTTGTGCATTGCTAAGAACTTCATTTGGACAACTTTAAAGATGATTTTCTCAATATTTTGATTTTTTTGCACCCTCAGATTTCAGATTTTCAAATAATGTTATCTCTGCCGAATATCGTCCGATCCTAACAAACCATACATCAATGGAAAGCTCATTTATTCAGCTTTCAGATGATGTAGAAATCTCAATTTAAAAAATTGACCCTTATGACTGGTTTTGTGGTCCATGGTCACATTTTAAGTTGGAATACCAAACAGTAATGTACAACAACCAGATAAACTATTATACAAAGTAAAAAAGGTGTGAGCAACGCACTTAAACGTCTGTCGCACTGCATTACTGCGCAGATCGATGATCTTCACCAGGTCGTCACGAGAGCAGCTCAGCAGCTCGGTCCGGTCGTGATTGAGGTCCAAAGAGGTAACGCGTCCCAGCAACTCCAGCTCATGCACGATACTCTCCGCCCTAAACACCAGAAATATTAGTGACTGAGACAGAAGTATCTGAGCATTGCAGCCTAACTCTACGTCTTCTCCAGTCAAATCCTGACTCACCTGATGTCCCAGAAACGAACTTTCTTATCGAAGTGTCCGCTCATCACACACTGCTCCGTGCAGACGATGTCATTACAGCTAGAACCAGCAAACACCGTCTTCATGCCTGAGAAAGAGAGTCTTATTAAGCTGATACTTCAAGACAATTAAAAGCAACCAGCAATTTCCATGAGTACAAATTCAGAGAAATAACTGTTCAATAAACCATCAACTACCAGAAAACTTTCGTTTTTAAAACTAGATACTTTTACACATTTTAGTTTTGTCTGTTCCTGTAAGAAATAAACAAAAATAAACTAATATTTAATATTAATTAAATACTAATGTAATTACAATTAACTTAAATATGAATGAATAAAGTCGATTTTTACAATTCTCATTGAAAAAGTTGTTGAAAAAACAAACTAATATTTAATGTTAATTAAATTTGAATCAAGTATTAATGTAATATTAAACCAAATTGATATTAATTTTAAAATAATTAAACAAATTAAAACAAAATGAACTAATATTTAATATTAATTAAATATTAATTAAATTAATATTTAATGAAATTAATATTAATATTTAGTTTGTAATTTTTACAATTCTCATTAGAAATCCTGATGCATTTAAAGTTGAAACCAGTTGAAAAGTTGAAAATGAACGAATAATGTTAAATGTTAATCAAATATTAATGTAATATTAAATTAATTAATATTAATTTCAAAAAATTAAAATTAATATTTAGTTTGTCTATTTTTTACAAAAATCACTAGAAATCCTGGTGCATTTAAAGTTAAAACCTGTTGAAAAGTTGAAAAACTTAAAAAATATAATAAAAAATAAATAAATACAAATATTTAAAAATATTTAATTGAGAAATAATATTTAATATTTAATTTAATTAACACCAATTCAATTAATTAATTAAATATGAATTAATGTTAATATTTTTTATATTAATATTTAGTTTGCAACACGGAACACAGAAATGGACAAACAACATTTTCTGAAGGTCAAGCAAAAGGACAAAAGGCACTGTTTTGCATCTTACTCACAGACAGTGGCAAATAATGTGTTTTTTGAACATTAAAGCATGTCAACATATTCTGTTACACCAAATACACAAAATAATGATCTTTAAAAAAGCATCATATGACCCCTTTAAGAAGAAGTATAACTACTAAGGTCTCTTACAGACTTTGCTGCGTAAGTCCCAGAGCTTGAGCGTTCGGTCGTAGCTGCCAGAGACGATCCGAGCGTTATCGAGGAGAAACCGAGCGGATAAAACCTTCCCGCTGTGCCCTGTGAGTGTGTGCTTTGGGAAAAGACAAATACAATGAATGGAAAACTTAAGATGTGTGGTTTCTAGTAGCAAATGAGATTCAGTTCAGCACAGATTCAGGTCTCAGAATGATTTTTGAGATCAGCTGACCAGCCTCCTTCAGTCCAGCCCTCCTGTGTGTCATGTTTCTGTGGGATGTTTCTGTCAGAGTCTCACTGGATCCTCTCGAAAAGACTCTTATGCAGCAGAAACATCCATTATATCAGCCGCCACATCAAACCAGGGCTGCACAACTAGAGCATGCTTGGGAGTATTAGTAGGGCCGGCTGGGAGGGACGAGGAGACTGGAAGAAGAGCTGGACATCAGACCTTTTACATCACATCACTGACCTTCGACCCAATAATTCAAACTTGAAGTTTGCTGCAGCGGCATTTTTATTTTTATTTTTTAAAGCAAGCAAAACTTGCATTGATGTAATGTTTGATTATTTCTGATGCATTAAAAAAAAACTGAAACCATCAATAATTAAATGCATGAACAATAAGAGACATTTTATTGTCAATATGACTGAAAACCTTTGCAACATTTACAGCTAAATATGCATTTAGACTAAAACAACTGCTGGAGTCTTTGATTATATGCTAACATGCGTGCATGGCTGTGTTTTCAGTGAAATGCTCACCCGCAGTCTGTAGTCATCAACAGTCCAGATTCTGCTGGCGAAATCATTCGACGCAGCCAGTAGATACGAGCCCTGCAGAGCACAAACACACTGCTGTCAGTCACCACAGTAAAAACACACCTCACTTTCATTTGTGTTCATCACTGGCTGAAGATATGCATTACATATAGCTCACGTTATGCGTAGACTGATGGTCTGAAATTAAGACCCTATTAATTCAATTGGGTTTTTGTGGCTTTTTATCTATATATGACAGTGAACTCCTGAGACAAAAGAAACATTTAGCAGATACATGCATTTAAATGGATTCATGTGCATTTTGTGTGTACACACCATAAAGCATCTGCTGAATGAATAAATTAAAATGTTTTGTACAATAAAATGCTCTCTTGAATTAAAATGTCCCCTTAGCCGATATTATAAACAATGACTGTATCCGACGAGATATACTAAGTAGCAAATCATGGTTTTGTTGTGAATTTAAATGAAAAATTACGAGGTCAAAGACCATGTTAAAAATGTAACGTATGCATATACGCTTGTTGAATCGATCACAATAAGATCAATAACATGCATTTGCTAAAAAGATCTACAGAATTTTGACTTTAAGGATATTTTCCAGAAACAATACTTGAAAATATGGAGAATCTGCAATTGTCAAATCATTTCATGAGGTCTTTAGGGCCCTATGAAATACATTTTTATTTTTTCCCCAAATACCGTGTTTTCTATTTTATTTTTCTGGGTTCTGTTTTAAAGAGTCACATAACTTTTAATAATCAAATATCACATCTAATCAATTGAATTCATAAAACTTTAACAATTTCATCTTCTAAAATGTAATGCAAAAATACTTTTAAAATTAATATTGTTTTTTATTTACTTTTTTTATTATTTGTTATTTTTTTCTTTATTTTTTATTTTATTTAAATTAATTTTATTTTATAGTAAAAATTTCTTAACATCACGTTACACCAAACTTTTAATTTGCTGGCTTGTAGTGAAGAACTTAAGAGTTAAATATTAAATCGTAATTAAATATTAATGTAATAATAACGTAATTAATATTTAATTAAATTAATTAAGATTAATATTTAGTTGGTCATTTTTACAACTCTCGTTAAAATCCTGATGCATTTAAAACCTGTTGAAAAGTGTAAAATGAACTAATATATAATGTTAATTAAATGTTAATCAAATATTAATGTAATATTAAATTAATTAATATTAATTCAAAAAATAAACATTAATATTTAGCTTGTCTATTTTTTACAATAATCAATCTCGCAGTGAAGAACTTAAGAGTTTTAGTGTGTATTTGAGGACAGTTTTTATCAAATAAAAAGGTGAAATTGCTTGTGACCTCTCAAAATGATTTATTCATCCAAAAATTGGCCAAAAATCAACCAATTATATAGAAAATTTCATCAGCAAATGATGGATTTCCTTGATTACGTCTGTGTTTTCTGCATTAGGGAAACCATAGAGCTCTAGGTTGTCATATCAGATATTCTTTTCTTTTATCAGCAGCTGTATCCTTATTTAAAGATGTAGTGTTAATAGTAAAGTAGACAGAATAACTCACCGCACTATCAAACTCTATGCTGGTGATTCCAGCATTACTGCCCGTCAGCGCACCTTTAGGTTCACATCGCCCTGGAGAAACAAAAAAAAAAGCTTTTAAAACCTCCCACGGACAAACCTGAACATCTACTGAATCTTTGCTTCAGGAGGAAACAGAAATTCTGCAGTGGTTTCATTAAACCTTGTGAAACTGAGCTGGCATAACGCACAATTCGGCCGACTTCCTCTTTGAAACGACTGAAGGTCTCAGCTTGAAAACTTGAGATCATGAGCCTGTCTTCAGTCCGACCCTCCTGTGTGTCGTGCTTCTGTTTGACGCTGCTGTTATCAAGTCGTCTTATTCTCGAAAAGACTCTACATATACAGCAGAAACGTCCATAATATCAGCCGCCTCCTCCAACCAGCGATGCACGACTAGAGCAAGCTGGACAAAATGAGCCGAGGCTGCTGGGAGGGACGGGAGGACTGGAAGGAGACGAAGGCTTCAGACCTTTTACATCTCATCACTGACCTCTGAACCCTGATGAAACGGTGAATGATAATACAGGTGTACAGTACCAGAAACGACCTCCCAGAGCTTCACCCTGCGGTCCATTCCTCCCGTGGCAAGCAGACGGGAACCGGGACTGAACCTCACGGCGTTCACTTCTCCATCGTGGGCGTCCTACACACAAACACACCAACACAATCACTCGAGGAAGATTATGAGTTTTACGGTTCTGCTTTTAGAGACTCAAATTAAACAGGCCGCCTGTTGTGCTGAAATGTGGGTTTTGCGTTGTTTTCCATGCAATTCACCCAAAAAATTAATAAACTGACACTACAGATTCATGTAAAAACAGAAAACCTTTATTGGAGCTTGTCAGAGACTAAAAACGAAATATGAGAAATTAATAGATACATCCTTTATGCAGTGAATTTTGGCGGCTGATAAGGTAAAAAAAAAAAGGAGATTTAATTTATAAATTGTAATGTGTGTGCAAAATACAGACAATCTATTCAATTATAAATAGTGATATCAATATATTTTGAGAATGTGATTTAAAAACTAATTTTATTTGAGATATGTAAATTGCAATTCAATTTCAAAATTAAAAATAAATCCACACATATACAATATATACTACACGTATATTTTAATGACAATTCATGTATAAAACAGTTTGTCCTTTTTCATTTGTTATTTCACATTTTCAAATTTTAATAAATTTATAGGGGTCAATTTGACCCACCTATTTTTATGTTCTAAATTAACTGCACACACACACACAAAATACAAATATTTCCTTATTTTTTGTGAAATGATTTTTGGCAAATTGCATGGAAACCTATGGGGGAGTCAATATGAGCCCAACATAAAGGTCGAGACAAAATCTGTACAGCCTTTCCAAAACACATATGTGACCCTGGAACACAAAACCAGTCATAAGGGTAAATTTTTTGAAATTGAGACGTATACAGCATCTGAAAGCTGAATAAATAAGCTTTCCATTGATGTATGGTTTGTTAGGATAGGACAATATTTGGTCGAGATACAACTATTTGAAAATCTGGACTCTGAGGGTGCAAAAAACTCTAAATATTGAGAAAATCATCTTTAAAGTTGTCCAAATTAAGTTCTTAGCAATGCATATTACTAATCAAAAATTAGGTTTTGATATATTTACGGTAGGAAATTTACAAAATATCTTCATGGAACATGATCTTTACTTAATATCCTAATGATTTTTGGCATAAAAAGAAAAATCTATGATTTTGACCCATACAATGTATTTTTGGCTATTGCTACAAATATACCCCAGCGACTTAAGACTGCTTTTGTGCTCCAGGGTCACATATGTGTCGATACTTCGCCTGCACATTCATGACCCTAAATGAGAAATATTCATAAAGTTGGAAAAATAAATAAATAGTTCAAGCACTTTGAAAATCAAGTGTGGGTCAAATTGACCTGCAACACAATAGAAGGGTCAAATTTAATTCGATTAAATTACATTTACAGTGTTATTAGTGCACTAATATATAGGTTGGTTTCCTGTTGTTGCTTTTAAAACTTGTAGCATTCAGATTCACCAAACTTTGACTGAAAATGAAATGGAAATTCAACCAAATCACTTGCTCCCAGTCTAAAGCAAAATTAGTCAAATAAACAAGGTTTTCTCCTGTTTTGAGCTTGTTTTAAAGGTCTCAGCTTGAAAACTTGAGATCATGCACCAGTTTAACGTTCTCCTCCCGTCTGGCCCTCCTTTGTGTTGTCCTTCTGTTGGACGCTGCTGTCGAGGTCACAATCGGTTCTCTAAAAGACTCTTATTCAGCAAAAACGTCCAAAGTATCAGCCGCTACCTCGAACCAGCAATGCACAACTAGAGCATGCTGGGAAATAATCAAGAGGGGCTGCTGGGAGGGGCGGACGGACTGGGAGGAGACCTGGATATCAGACTTTTTACATCACATCACTGACCTTTAAACCCTGACCTCTGCAGATCAACAGAGTGAAGGCTGCATGAAAGAGAACGAATGAAAGTGACACTCACAAAGACGTGCAGCGCAGTGGAGGGAACTCGGACATCAGCGCAGGCCGACGGCACCTCTGCGCTTTCAGGAGACGAGCCAAACGAATTCACCGAGCGACGCCTTCTGAGGGAAAGAAAGCGCATGTGTCACACGGGCTCAGCTGAAGTCATACTGGATGATCTTACGCTCTCATATGTGACCCTGGAGCACAAAAGCAGTCTTAAGTCGCTGGGGGATATTTGTAGCAATAGCCAACAATACATTGTATGGGTCAAAATTATTGATTTTTTGAAGATATTTTGTAAATTTCCTACCGTAAATATATCAAAACTTAATTTTTTGATTAGTAATATGCATTGCTAAGAACTTCATTTGGACAACTTTAAAGATGATTTTCTCAATATTTAGATTTTTTTGCACCTTCAGATTCCAGATTTTCAAATTGTTGTATCTCTGCCAAATATTGTCCTATCCTAACAAACCATACATCAATGGAAAGCTTATTTATTCAGCTTTCAGATGATGTAGACATCTCAATTTCGGAAAAATTGACCCTTATGACTGGTTTTGTGGTCCAGGGTCACATGTTTCTTGCAAAACATGTCATCTTCATAAAGAGGGTCATTCACGGACTGAAGCTGTTATAACTGCATGACTGCATCTGTAACATTGATTATAGCATGGCAATATTTGAGGTGAAATGTAAAACTCGCCTCTTTGACACAGAAACAAAACTGATGCACATAAAACACTTCAAAGCAAACTTAAATCTATGCAGGGTGGGTGATGATATTGATATTTAAAATTATATTGCATTTTTATAGATTAGAATGTGTGTAAAATACAAACTAAAAATGCTTATCTGTCTAGATTTAAAAATTAAATTCTAAATAAGAAAAAATATATATTTAAGTTTCATAAATTATGATACGTGTATAAAATTGATAAATGATAAATAGCGATGTCCATATATTTTGATGTGCTTTAAAAATAATTAGAAGGAAAACTTTGAGAACTCAAGTAAATTGCAATTTAATTGAGACATCTAAAATAAATGTTAACTACATATATTTTTAATGACAATATGAATAAAATACACACAAATAAACTATTTTTAAAATTTGATAATGAGATTTAATAACACATGTAAAAGGCTAAAGACAAACAAATTGACAACTCGTGTAAAATTCAATTAAATAAAAAAATATACATTTAATTGTGATTTACATGAGTTGTGTGTGTGTATAACATGTAAGATACAAGTATACAGTGGGTACGGAAAGTATTCAGACCCCCTTAAATTTTTCACTCTTTGTTATATTGCAGCCATTTGCTAAAATCATTTAAGTACACATACAGCTGTTCCCTCACCACAGTGCAACAGTGAAAAGGGACCCCTTTCAAACAGTGTCGCGTTCCGAGCGTTGTTTAAGCAACATACACCGGTTTTGCGGTATTTTAAAAATTCATATCATAACAAAAATAAACACCGGTATTCGGTATGAACCGGTATACCGCCCAGCACTAATATATATATGTCTTTTTTTTTATTTGCATTGATTGTAAAGCTAATTTTTTGAGCTTCAGATGCCACACTGGAAACCTTATAATTACTGGATAAATGCACAATTAAACCAGACATTATCAGATCATTCCTAACATAATTCCCTCAATCAGTGAATGCAAAACCAATATAAAATTTATAGAAATGTCTCCCAGCTCGTAGTTTTACCTGGCAAATCACCCACCCAGCCAAAACTCACACACAACTACACACAGAGCAACGGGCAGCCTGCAAACATCACAAATAGATCCAAAAACACAGCAGCATCCTACAGGAAATGACACATATACGAGGAACAGGAAGCATTGAGAGCAGTTACCCACAATCCCTTTCACAGCCCTTCTGAAATATAATTGTTAGCATGCTTCAGGGTTCACATCAGCACAGAATCGCTCTCTCACACACACACACACACACACACTTCCTGACACCACAGTGTGTATCACCTGGAGTCAGATGGGACGAAACCAGGTTGGACAGAATCAGACAAGCTGCAGACACAGAGAGAGTGTAGAATGAGACACGCACACACACACACACACACACACATTCACTCACACACACACAAAAGAGAGTTACAAAAACATGTCCAGGCCAAAATAAGAAATGTTTTTTGCACATTATAGGATCATTACGATGTTTTGCATTGTTTTGCGTCACTCCATGACTTAAATATGACCTGGAGATGTTCTAGACAGGTTTTGTGTGCAAAATGAAGAAGAAAAGTAACATTTGTGCCCATACACACAGACTGAAACATACCCAAAGATATTAGAGATGGAATCCAGCAGTCCAGCAGGAGGAGGAGGCTGAGACACTCGTCTACTGAGAAACAGACACACAGCATCAGTTACGGCATTCACTGAACAGCATGAGTTGTGAAATCTGTAACTCTGTGTGTGTGTGTGTGCATGTGTGTATGTATGTGAATGAAGAAGAAAAGTAACATTTGTGCCCATACACACAGACTGAAACATACCCAAAGATATTAGAGATGGAATCCAGCAGGCCAGCAGGAGGAGGAGGCTGAGACACTCGTCTACTGAGAAACAGACACACAGCATCAGTTACTGCATTCACTGAACAGCATGAGTTGTGAAATCTGTAACTCTGTGTGTGTGTGTGCATGTGTGTATGTATGTGTATGTGTGTGTGTGTGTATGTGCGTGTGTATGTGTATGTGTGTGTGTGTTTACCTGGGTGCGCGACTGGTCTGTCTGCTCGGTGACGTTTCACCCGTTCCCTTCCCAGCATCCTCTGAGAGAACTTCGATGTCATCATCTCTAGACCAATCAGAAAACAGCATCCAGTGGGATTTCAGAATGATTTAACAGGATTCCCAAAAGCTACAGAAATTAACCAGGGCTTGAATTCATACCTATTAAATAATATTTGACATAAATGGATGATACATTGTATTTTGATATGCCCTCATAAACGGCAAAAACTACCCCCAAAAATTCAAATCAAATGAGTAAATATTAACGTAAAATATAATATCTATGACTTTGACAGGTATTTGACTACTAGACCTGTGTTGTTATTGTTAAGTAAAACTATTTAAAAAATTTGGTAATTGAAATAAAGCTAAAATAAAATATAAATATTAGATGAAAAGCTTAAACGTAAAACACTTAAATTAAAAAATAAAAAATGCTGCCTTGGAAAATAACTAAGTTTAAGTACTAAAATTATTAAAAATGAAATAAAAATGTAAATAAAAATAGAAATATGAAGCTAATAGCAATATGGAAACAAACCAAAAAAAACAACTTAAACTATAATGAAAACTTAAAAGCACTTAAATTAAAATGAGAAATGCTGCTTTGACAACTAACTGAAATAAATTCGTTTAAGTACTAAAATTACTACAATTAAAATGGGGAAAAAAATATTATAAAGCTAAATGCTAAATATAAATATTTTTTTAAAATTACTAAAACTAAAATGAAAACTGAAAATGTAAAATTTAAAGCCAATTCAAAATGAATAAATACGACAATAGTATACAAATAACACTAATGGATACAAATGTTTATTATTTTAAAAAGAGTGTGCTCACAAAGAGTGTTTTCACTATAGAAATCTCCATTATTGTAAATTGTATAATTTTATTTATTTTCATGGCAAAAACTCAATTACAAAAATGCAAATATCACATAAACACAATAAAAACCAAGCAAACACAGCACGTAATATTACAAAAGATTTTTTAAATTAACATGATAAAAATTCTAAAACCTTTTCAGTTCTTAAGTGAACTAACTTCATAAAAGAGCTTTCTACTTGCATTAAAACCGGGACAGTCCAAAACAATATGTTTCACTGTACCTAGTAGACATATTTCTAAACACAAACTCACGGGTCTATAGGAAGAGGTTCCTTCGCTGCGTCCGCCAGTTCCTTCTGAAGCTTCGCCTGTCTGCGCCTGCAAGGATATCAGTGTGTTAAACACACTTTACACACACATTTAAACTCTACTGAACCTCCCAGCCTGTTTCAAACAACCAATCACGAGGAGAATCATAATGAGCTCATTTCTGCATGGACGGTCAGGTAACGAGACCCTTTTTTCAGCATAGGTGGTCAGAAACTGATGGGTGGCGGCCAATCACGCATTTCCATTGTTTTTAAACGACTCTTAACGACTGATCGATTTAATCAGCAAGATCGAGAGTGTTCAGCTCACACACAAACGAGCCGTTAACGACGTCGTTTACACGCATGATGAACTTAAAGGTCGTACAAAAGAAAGGGTATTTTAGAAGCACAAATAGTCTAGCATCCAGATTTCAGGTTCAAACTTGAGTTGAATATAGGGGTGTGCGATATTGACAAAAAATTATATCTCTATATTTTCTGGGATTTTATCGATAACTAGACGATATTTTGCTGAGTGTGTTATTGTGCTGGTACCTTAAGGACTGCCGAAGACAGCTGACTCCTAATGTTTTTAATATTCTTCATATTCTGTGTGGTGGTCAGTTCATACTGATAGAAATTAATCTTTTCCAATAAGTTTAAACAGATGTTTGCATTTTATGGGCATTTTTACCTTTATAAAGCCATTTTTTCTAAAAGTGTCCATTATCTTTTGAGTCAAATTCTTACATTTAATCAGGGAATTAGAATAATAAGACATTTGGGCTGTTACCAAGCAAATGAAATCAACACAGAAGCTGCATCTGAAGTGGCATTTAGATGTATTTACACAAATGCATTTAACCTGCAATTACAAATGCATAAATAATGTTTTGATATATTAAACATAAAACGTTGAATACTGATATCTGAAATGATTTAAAACATGAAAAAAATAAAATTAAATGAAAAAAAAAGAAAAGAAAGAAAAAGCCGAAATTTGAAATTAAAACCGACAGTAGGTGGCAGCAAATCACTGTTAATAAGTGTGTCATTGCGATTGAACCGAATCATTTAAAGGGGTCATATGATGCGATTTCAAGTTTTCCTTTCTCTTTGGAGTGTTACAAGCTCTTGGTGCATAAAGAAGATCTGTAAAGTTGCAAAGACTAAAGTCTCAAATCCAAAGAGATATTCTTTATAAAAGTTAAGAGTCAGCCACGCCTACCTAAAACGGCTCATTCTAACAC